CAGTAAGTAGCCTATTGTTGCTCTTGTGTACAACTGATAGAATCATTTGCTCAGGAACTTCATTGTCCTCTCATGTTCTGCTTACTTTGTGGTTTGGGGATCTGATGACTGTCAAAGCATAGGCTACGTGATGTTAAACATGTTCTTGTTCTTCTCATTCAAGTGACTTTTACTGTTTAGCTTCTTAGAAGCACTGATATGCCTTCTTTACAAGGCTAAGATCCCAGAGGACCTTTAGATAGATGGCCAACTAACCCAGCAGTGTGATCATCATAGAAAAAGAGTGGAAGCGACTGGGCCTGAAAACATATATTAAATGTTTCAGTTTCAGATTTGAAAAATTCCCCCAAACTGAAGGACTTGGAAACTCAGACTATGGGTCGTTCTGGTTTTGACTGGTTCTCTCAGTGCTGTAAAGCTGGGAAATAGACAAGAGAGTGAGGAGTGAGAAGAGATCATTAAATCAAACATTAAGAAATTAAATTCTGAATATGTAACCTATATAAATCCATAACTGATGTTTCCCTATGTAGGTCATAGAGGTCATTTATATCACATGGGCCTAACTGAACTCCTACTGGCCTCGACCTTGCATGTTCTGCATGATATAGCGGTATAAAATTGATAAGTCTTATCATGATATGGCATAGCTGCTATTCCTGGAATCTTTCATCCACTCCCATATTTATTTGACCTCGTGGGAAATTACAAATTAACATGGTCCAAAAACAGATCAATTATTAACATTGCTACCAATCTGTACACCTTATCTTAAAAATAATGAATCAAAATCTTACTGTTCACATGTTATCAAGTAGAGCCCTACTTGAGAACAGTGCATGAATGCGTTCAGTAGTACATGCTTGTACTGTAGTTCTGCGAATGAGAATAAGATAAACCTGGCAAAGAATGCACTCTAGTGGAGAAGAATGATCATTACAGTTCTGTTTTTGCACTCAGGGTCTCAAACTCCCAGCTCCCCTTCTAAAAATAAATTAATAAATATATTAAATCAACCTAAAGTGGTTTGCTGGTCTTAGCTTGCTTAAGATGTTCACGTTCCAAAAATGTAAATACACCTTCCAAGGTTCCACTTTCAATTTTGACGCTCTTGATTGGCGCCTCCTAGTGGTCGCAGACACGCGTGATGAAACCACACCTCCAGTGAATGAACTGTAACCTCGTGCACAACAATAATGAGGAAGTCTTAGTACGGGACGGTGCTGAATTACTACATATCAAAGATTTACTCGAATTTTGTCATGCTGGGACCTAAAATAGATACTATGACTAATGTTTATAATTCTGTAATGAAAAAAACCTTTAACCTTTTTTAACACCTTGTAAAAGGCATGTTTTATTTAATCTTAGTGTACCTACTGTCAGCCACACATACTGTTTTTTCTGAATCAGGTAAGCAAGAACTAGTTTTACAGCACTAAGCACATATGTTGCCATTCTTGCTCATTATATTGTCGAATTATGAAGTTTAAAAAAATTCTGATCTCTCACAGGGTCGCACTCGCTATGGGTCTTTGCTACATTTTTGACTGGAGACAGTTCAGCGCCGTTCTCAGAGTTCACTGCAGTTATTATGCTGGATGATATTGTCATCGGTCACTATAACGCAGATGAGAGAAGTTTTATCCCGGCGACGGTGCAAGAATCCGTTAATGTCACGGAGCAAATGACTATATCAACAGTCGGTAAAGGCATACACGAGGGCATGAAAACCAAAGCATACTACTTAATTGATTACCTAAATTATACAAGAGGTAATTATTCTCTAATGGTCTTGCATTATTCTCTTGAGAGTGCATGAAAAGTAGCCTATTCTCATTCAGTTCGGTTCACTGTGTATAGGCTACATGCAATCAAATCAAAAATTGGAATTCACTAGGATAAAAAAAACAACTTTTAATTCTAAAATAATTGCTGTTCATTTTAAACTTTCTACTCATCAAATAATCCTGAAAAAATGTATCGCAGTTTTCATAAAAATATACTAAACAGCACAACTATTTTGAACACTGATGATAATTATAAGAAATGTTTCTTTAGCAGCAAATCAGAATATTAGAGTGATTTCTAAAGGATCATGTGACACTGAGGACTGGAGTAATGATGCTGAAAATTCAGTTTTGCCATCACAGGATTAAATTGCATGTTTAAATATTCAAACAGAAAACAGTTACTTTAAATTGTAAAAACATATATTTCACAATATTACTATTTATACTGTAATTTTCAATCAAACAAATTCAGCCTTAGTGAGCATAATATACTTATATATATATATATATATATATATATTAAAAGAAATCATACCCAAACCATTTAAATGGCAGATAACCTTATTGTTAGTGAACTGTTGTGACAGTGTCAGTAATTATAAATGTCAGCAAAATGGAGTTCTGCTTTTTTTTTAATTCTCTGTGAACTGTGTGTAAATGTCATAACAGAATTGTGAATTCCATTCTTACATGTGTGTATCTGAGACTCTGTATTTCTTCCCAAGGACTTCACGTGCAGCAGAGGCTGGTTGGATGTGAACTTCTCCGTGATGAGCCTGGCCGAATGATGACGCTGGAGGCCTTTAATGGCGAGAGTGGCTTTGAACGACGCTATGACGTTCAAGGAGACCAGCACACTGACTGGAAATGGCCTGTCATAAAGAGTAGGGCACAGCTGGAGTACGACGCGTGGCTCTATGCCCACTTTTACCGCCCCTTGTGCATTAGCCAGCTTAGGACATATCTAAAAAAGGAGCAGAAGCGTGTGTTGGCAAAAGGTGAGTTAATGTAACCTCCAAAAATGCACTCTGTTTGGTTTGGAAAACATTAATGATGTGTGTCCTGCTCAGTGTGTTCACTCTTTCCTTGACAGTAAAGCCCAGAGTGAGAGTGATTAAACGCTATTGTAGGGAGGCAGGTGTAGTTCAGATGACCTGCCTGGCAACTGGTTTTTACCCACGTCACATTAATCTGACCCTGCTTCAAGATGGCCAGCCAGTTAATGAAGAGAGGATCACAGGAGGTCAACTGCTGCCCAACCCTGATGGAACCTATCAGATGAGGAAGAGTGTGGAACTCAGCGCTGAAGAACAAAGAGAAAGACACACCTACACTTGTACTGTAACTCACCTTAGCCTGGATAACAAGCTTGACATCAGTATAGGTATGGTAATCTAATAGAAATGGCAATCTAATTTACACTAATATATATATATATATATATATATATATATATATATATATAATATAATATTTGTATATTTTTAGAACCTGGTCCTGATCCTGTTATTGTAGTTCCCTCTGTACTTCTATTGCTGTTGGTTTTTGGACTTCTGGCTGCCTTTAAAATATGGAGGAAGAGATGTTCACAGCCTGAGCAGGTACACATACACTCACTGTTTCACTAAAACATCAGATTCACATTATAAGAGACAAGCTCTGCTGGCCAGGCTTCATAATTGTATTTCTGTCATCCTATTGCAGATCATCTACATACCTACCTCAGGTTTGACCTGTTAATCTGCTCAGATATATTTATGCATTTGTTAAGGAAGTTAAACATGTACCTTTACTAATATGGGTTTATTTTATTATTATATTTTTCCTCAGCAGCTGATGACCAAACAACAGAACAGCGGATATGACATGTAAAGTGGCACCAAATGATCTGTTCACATTTACAGACTGGAAGCATTTTGTAAACTGACTGAACTGAAAACACTTTAATCAGTATTTTTTTTAAAAATCTTTTTGTTTAAATAGGCTAGAAATTACTGCATGTATCTAACAGGTTTCCTCTAATGCCAAGTTTGTCTGAACACAGCTGTTTATGTTAGCATGCCTGTTTGCCAGATTGCATTGCCAGCAAATCAGCCACCAGAACTCCTCAGTATTATTTAAAACTGTTCGAACTTTCAATAGTGTGCTAATAAACAAACATTTGTTATATTCTTCTGTGAATGCTTTATAAGTTCACGGTTCATGATCTTACTCCCATTTACCGTAATGTTGCAATTGCTTTTAAAACTTGAATGTTAATCTTCAGTCCCTTTCTGCATGCTGTCATAACGCAAACCTCAACGCGCGCGCCACGAATTGTTGTTCCGCAAGAGTCCAATCAGATTCCAAACGCACCGCGCATGCGCTGTGTGCGCAGATTCAAACAACATCGGAAAGTGGGCCAAAGGAAGGCGATAGGTGAGTTCGGGCGGGGGTCAGGGAAATGTAAATAACATGTCGATGCAAAATGATGCGATATGCTTCGTTCAGTATTTAAATAAACAGCACGATTGCATGACTTAAAATGGCGTCATCGTCCCTCAAGAGCAGACGAAGGGAACTGCTAAAATGATTGTCATTGTTTTTGCTGTATATCTAAAATGGTGGACGCTGCCTGTGCCCATACGATAGCTCGTGTATGACTGGAGTTTCGCTATAGATAAAAAAAAAACTCCCAGTTGCATGCATGTAAACAGCGATCGGACGATGTCCTTCTTGAAACAGTAAACGCAATGCATCTATAGGTACCAATGCACACTCAACAGGTGGGAAGGGTACTTAAAGTTAGCTTAGCGTAGCCATAAACATTATTTTGGAAATCCGAACATACATAATGTTTCTATAAATGACATTTTTGCTCTTGGATTCATGTGCTTTGCAGTCTCAGAACACAATTAAAGCATCATATATCAGTCATATCAGTATACCTACCTTTTAATTTTGCTTTACAACCAACTTCTCTTGTCAAATAAGATTTCTTGCCTTACTAAGAAAAAATTCATGGTCAAATTCTGCAATAAAATTCAAGTTTTTCTGCTGTTCCCCCAGAATGGCTATAGAAAATGGGCCTCAAGGACACACATTCAGCCTGTCGCAAATCCTCCTCATCTATAGAGGTGGGTGTTGGTAAAACATCTCCAACTGGAGCAAGTTGCTATATATATATATATATATATATATAATATAATATTTGTATATTTTTAGAACCTGGTCCTGATCCTGTTATTGTAGTTCCCTCTGTACTTCTATTGCTGTTGGTTTTTGGACTTCTGGCTGCCTTTAAAATATGGAGGAAGAGATGTTCACAGCCTGAGCAGGTACACATACACTCACTGTTTCACTAAAACATCAGATTCACATTATAAGAGACAAGCTCTGCTGGCCAGGCTTCATAATTGTATTTCTGTCATCCTATTGCAGATCATCTACATACCTACCTCAGGTTTGACCTGTTAATCTGCTCAGATATATTTATGCATTTGTTAAGGAAGTTAAACATGTACCTTTACTAATATGGGTTTATTTTATTATTATATTTTTCCTCAGCAGCTGATGACCAAACAACAGAACAGCGGATATGACATGTAAAGTGGCACCAAATGATCTGTTCACATTTACAGACTGGAAGCATTTTGTAAACTGACTGAACTGAAAACACTTTAATCAGTATTTTTTTTAAAAATCTTTTTGTTTAAATAGGCTAGAAATTACTGCATGTATCTAACAGGTTTCCTCTAATGCCAAGTTTGTCTGAACACAGCTGTTTATGTTAGCATGCCTGTTTGCCAGATTGCATTGCCAGCAAATCAGCCACCAGAACTCCTCAGTATTATTTAAAACTGTTCGAACTTTCAATAGTGTGCTAATAAACAAACATTTGTTATATTCTTCTGTGAATGCTTTATAAGTTCACGGTTCATGATCTTACTCCCATTTACCGTAATGTTGCAATTGCTTTTAAAACTTGAATGTTAATCTTCAGTCCCTTTCTGCATGCTGTCATAACGCAAACCTCAACGCGCGCGCCACGAATTGTTGTTCCGCAAGAGTCCAATCAGATTCCAAACGCACCGCGCATGCGCTGTGTGCGCAGATTCAAACAACATCGGAAAGTGGGCCAAAGGAAGGCGATAGGTGAGTTCGGGCGGGGGTCAGGGAAATGTAAATAACATGTCGATGCAAAATGATGCGATATGCTTCGTTCAGTATTTAAATAAACAGCACGATTGCATGACTTAAAATGGCGTCATCGTCCCTCAAGAGCAGACGAAGGGAACTGCTAAAATGATTGTCATTGTTTTTGCTGTATATCTAAAATGGTGGACGCTGCCTGTGCCCATACGATAGCTCGTGTATGACTGGAGTTTCGCTATAGATAAAAAAAAAACTCCCAGTTGCATGCATGTAAACAGCGATCGGACGATGTCCTTCTTGAAACAGTAAACGCAATGCATCTATAGGTACCAATGCACACTCAACAGGTGGGAAGGGTACTTAAAGTTAGCTTAGCGTAGCCATAAACATTATTTTGGAAATCCGAACATACATAATGTTTCTATAAATGACATTTTTGCTCTTGGATTCATGTGCTTTGCAGTCTCAGAACACAATTAAAGCATCATATATCAGTCATATCAGTATACCTACCTTTTAATTTTGCTTTACAACCAACTTCTCTTGTCAAATAAGATTTCTTGCCTTACTAAGAAAAAATTCATGGTCAAATTCTGCAATAAAATTCAAGTTTTTCTGCTGTTCCCCCAGAATGGCTATAGAAAATGGGCCTCAAGGACACACATTCAGCCTGTCGCAAATCCTCCTCATCTATAGAGGTGGGTGTTGGTAAAACATCTCCAACTGGAGCAAGTTGCAATGACTATGTGATCCACTGTGTTCACGAGACTGGACACGAGCCTCAGCAAGAAGCCAGCAGGTGCCCATGAATCCCTGAAGAAGGAAAGCCGCGACTTCGCCACCCATGTGCTGAGCACGATCCACAACAGCGTAAATCAAAAGCATCACCTGCACAGCAAATCAAATATCAGCCGCCGGAACGTGTTGAGCTCTCCTGACCAATCTCCAGCAGGGAACCTCGGGCAGGAGGAGAACTGGGAGACTCTGGGGGCCTTGACACTCCCGTCAACCAAGCAGATGGGGGCCGAAGGTTCCCCGGTCAAGAGCAAATCACTGTTTTGTCAGGCCAGTCAAAACCACGTGGGGAAGATGGATCCCATGGTATCAAATGGCAGCAATCAGCAGAGAGAAGTGGGGGTGGTCGTGGGGGTCCCCTCGCCGGAGAACAGTCCCGATGGGAAGCGTCGTAACATGAGGAAAGGCTCTGGCCTCGTGGACACGCAGACCAGCTGCATCCGACAGATCTTGCTGCTGCAACTGGAACTGATTGAACAGCAGCAGAAGCAACTGCACAACAAGAGCAAAGAGATCGATGATCTCAAAGCTGAAAATGAGATGGTACGCTGAGACTTTTGCACGTTTTTCCCCTCCTTTTATGAAATGAAATATTAAATGATGGGCCTGTTTTGATGTTAAACTGGGCGCATTCAGAGTTTCCCACTTGTTGTTTTGTAACACTTGTTTCTTGTTTCACCTATTCGTCTGAACCCGATGTTTAATACACAGCCTAACACAGGTGTGTGTTTGTAGCTAATGGCCCGAATTGAATGCATGGAGCATCGGCTGCAGATGGTGAAAAAAGAGGGTACAAAATCCACAGATGATGTCCAGCAATCTGAGGGGCGGGTCCAAACCCCAAAGCAAATGCACTTTGGAAGAGGAGGAAAAAGCCTGAAAAGGTATGACCATTACTTTTTCTCTAATTGTATAAAGATTTATTGCAAGGATAGTTCACCCAAAAATTCATCATCGATTACTTGTCCTCATATCGTTCCAAACCTGTATGACCGAGTTTCTTCTGCGGAACTCAAAAGAAGACATGGGGGTATGTAAATGACGACAGAATTTTAATTTGTGGGTGAGCTAACCTCAATATCTCCAACTAATGTGCTGTAGGGCTGTCAGAATGACTGAAAAACTAAATTCGAATTTTGTACTTAAATATGATCAATATTCGATGATTCGAATATCAGTATTATTATATTCAAATTTAAAAGGCACATTTTCACTTGGGGGAAAAAAGATTTTGGCTTCTCTTCTAAGGCCACAGGAGGGCGCATGGAGCAAAATATTACTAATGCACGTTTATTCAAAGCAATAAAACAACACGACCATCTTTGGAAAAAAGTGCATAATGTTTAAAATAATGTTTATAAACTAAATATAATTAATTAAGTTGCTTAAACGATTAGAAACAAAACAGCATCATGTATGTATGGAAAGTTTAATACAAAGGACCAAATAACAAAGAGTACTTTTTTCATTTAAAACATGAAATGAAGTGGGATGGGGAAAAACCGCCATTCAGTTTTGAGACATGTTTTTTAAAAGTTGAATGTATATTAATTTTACATGGATTTCTAAACATGCGGCTCTCTTGTCCGAGACGCGAGTGCAACGGTGATAGATGTCCCTATAGAAAATGCGATAAATAAGCGTTCTGTGTGAACGGCTTCAGTTTTGCCCAAAGATCTCTGGGCTGTAGCCTGTAGGCTAACAAAAGCATTAAAATGCAACAACACTATATCGTCATCGCATCTCGTGTGCCACTGATAAGGCTGCCTGATTCACATCTAAAATTCGAATGCAACGGTTTTGCATTCGAATGTGGATTTTTATTTTAAATTCGACATTCAAAATTCAAATTTTTATTTGACAGCCCTAATGTGCTGTAGCTAATGAAATGAGAGTTGATTAAACTAAATATGTTTTATTTTTCACCCTCTCAAAGGAGGTTTCTTTTCCAGGACTCCCGGATGAGGAGGTCACGACGTGGGCAGCCCAGGTTATCACCACCACCACAGGATAGCCCCGCTCAGAAGGAGGAACCCCAGGAAGAGACGGAGCCTGAATTGCAGTCTCAGTCGGAGGAACTGCCCTACCTGACTACCACAGAGATGTACCTCTGCCGCTGGCATCAGCCGCCTCCGTCACCTTGGCGAGACCCCTCACCTGTGCATGAGGACACAGTTGCAGGTTGGGAAAAATTAATGTAATTTCTCTGTTAAAGAAATATTTCACCCAAAAATGAAAATTTCGTCATCATTTACTCACCCTCATGTTGTTCCAAACCTGTACAAGTTATAACTTATGGTGAACACAAAAGAAGATATTTTGAAGGACCAAACAGTTCCCATTGACTTCCATAGTAGGGAAAGAAATACTATGGAAGTCAATGGGGACTGTCAACAGTTTGATTACCAGCATTCTTCCAAATGTATTCTTTTATGCTCAACTTAAGAAAGAAACTCATACAGGTTTGGAACAACATGAGGGTGAGTAAATAATGACACAATCTTTGGATGAACTATTCCTTTAATGATTTTAATCACATATATTGATTATAAAGAAAATTTAAGATCCTCAAAAATGTATCATTATTCACCATATGTAGTTCCTTCTTGGCGAGAGAGTATCTTAGAGCCATTGGGGCAGAAAGAGGCGTCGGAGATCCCTGAGGTTAGTAAGACCCGTAATCATCCCAAGTGGCAAAGTTCGTGTGGAGCTGTATTTTCTGTGAACCCAGATGCTGCTTCACTCTGAAACACGCAGCGCATATATATTTATTTAAAGGGATAGTTCACTCAAAAATGAAAATTCGGTTATTAATTACTCATCTTCATGTTGTTGCAAACCTGTAAGACCTTTGTTTTTAAGTAAGACCTTAAAAACAAAGAAAACTGAATGAAGAAAACAAAAATAACGACTTTATTCAGCGCGCATAGAAGGAAATTGATTAAGAAAGTTGTTATTTTGGTTTTCTTTAGACACACAAAAAAAGTATTCTCGTAGCTTAATAAGATTACAATTGAAGCACTGATGTCACATGGACTATTGTAACAATGTCTTTACTACCTTTCTGTGCCTTCAACGTGTCAGTTGTGTTGCTGTCTATTCAGGGTCAGAAAGCTCTCGAATTTCATCAAAAATATCTTAGTTTTTGTTTCGAAGATGAATGAAGGTTTTACAGGTTCAGAATGACATGAGGGTGAGTAATTAATGACAGAATTTTCATTTTTGGGTGAACTATCCCTTTAATTAAATCACAGCCTCTTGCAATTTCATACTCGTATCACAATTTTGATTTTATTTCAATTAAATGTTTCACTTTAATGATGCATGTAAATGCTCATACTTCTGTGCAGTGTCTAGATGATAATGTTTTTCTGAAGAGGCATTCAAAACTTGAGCTGGATGAGAAGAGGAGGAAGAGGTGATGCATGTTTTATTTTTCTTCTATATAGCATCAGATAGACTAGAGCAGCTCTTCTCAAAGTCTGGACTCTGGTCCGGAGGGAATTAAATCCGGACCGGCCTCCACTTCGTATTTCAAGTGCACTCGTATCACTCAGACCTCCGTTGCACAAACTAGTGTTGCACTGTTTACCGACCTTTTTGTAAGACAAAGCGCATAGCAACTAGTGACATTTTGGATAAACCTTAGCTTTCATTCAATAGAAAAAAAGTCACCGGTTTCGCCCCGCAAACACGAGGTTTCGCCTTCCTGATGCAGCTCGACTTTCTCGCCCGGCAGAGTTAGCAGCACATTCAATTGACTTGTGAATGAATGAGTACAAAACAGCGTTTCCAGAAACCTATCACTGTTGACTGTCTGGGCATATGAACATGAATGTAGTTCGTCTGTAAATATGGACATAGTTTGTTACACAGACAGACAATTGTGCTGCATGATATATAAAATAAAGTAATAGGCCTATAATTCACTGTAGTATAACAGCGTATTGCAGTTATAATTCAAGATTTTAGCAATTCAGTTGAAGTGACTGCAGTTTACATTGAATTACTATTTCATAAACAGAACATATGTGACCCTGGACCACAAAACCAGTCTTAAGTGTCAATTTTTCGAAATATTAAAGCTGAATAAATACGTTTTCCATTGATGTATGGTTTGTTAGGATAGGACAATATTTGGCCGAGATGCAACTATTTGAAAATCTGGAATCTGAGGGTGCAAAAAAATCTAAATATTGAGAAAATCACCTTTAAAGTTATCCAGATGAAGTCCTTAGCAATGCATATTACTAATCAAAAATTAAGTTTTGATATATTTACAGTAGGAAATTTACAAAATATCTTCATGGAACAAAAAGAGAATTTTTATTGAGAAAAATCAATAATTTTGACCCATACAATGTATTTTTGGCTATTGCTACAAATATACCCCAGGGACTTAAAGGGGTCCTATTATGTTATTTTACAAAGTCTTGATTTTGTTTTGGGGGTGTACTAGAACAGGCTCTCGTACTAGTTTGCTCGAAAAACATTATTTTTTCACATATTTTACATTATTACAACACCTCTCTCCCCAGTCTGGAATGAACGACTCGAATAGTTTGTGTATCAAATGAAGGCCCGCCTTCTGAAATACGAAATGTGCTGTGATTGGTTAGCTGGGCCAGTGTGTGTTGTGATTGGTTAGCTGGGCCAGTGTGTGTTGTGATTGGTTAGCTGGGCCAGTGTGTGTTGTGATTGGTTTCACTCGGTGCCTAGTCGGGAAATGTCATGCCCCTTACCATAGCCGCCTGCGAGCTTCAGTGTAAATATTGCGTCAAAATCAAATCAATTTGAGTGCGATTTAACCCCCGGATGATTGTAAGCACTCTAAGTTCGTCTGCCTTGGGAAAGCTAGCGCGTCTGCGACATAGTGATAACACTCGTTGCCTTCTCTAGTGCAGCTCAACCAGGTCTCGTCCCATTCATCGATATTTGTGATATCACAAATCCCGGAAAATATGCGTTGTAGTCCAAACGAGTCGTTCGTTGTAGTTTTTGAAAAGTGATTTCTGTTAAATAAAAGATCTCCTTTTGAAGTGGACTTTGAGCTTTGTAACTTTGCTGATCTTTTTTTATGCTTAAACAGCAACATTACAGACTAACCAAAGTTGAAAAAGCATAATAGGACCCCTTTGTGCTCCAGAGTCACATACGTATGTAAATGAGAACTGCTTTATTGGACATTTAGTTGTACAAAAATGCGCTATGTAACAGTTCAGAGTGTAAATGCAAATGCGACGTCATGAATGTAATAATTACCATATATAAAGTTTAATTGTTATATAAAGTTACAAGCATGTTTATTAAAAACAAGTTTTGTAATAACAATTATTTCGGAGCTTTTTGACATTGATGAGAATTCAGATTCGGACCTATGAATTAGAGGTCTGCACGGGCTTTAAACTGAAGCCCGAACCCGACCCGTACCCGAGATCGTCTAACCCGACCCAAGCGGCACAGTTAAATCTAGAGACTGAAGCCGAATTTTTTTTCTCCCCCACAACGAATAGCCAATTAAAAAAAAAATGCTGTATTTCACGATTGCATGCAACGGTCAGTAAAAAGAAACAGAATCACTAAGGCTCACTAAGTCATTTTCATCAGTTAAGGCTCGTTAGCATTCGGCCTGCTTTAAATCAGATACAGAGATGCAGTGCGGTAAGATTGCATTTATTTGAATTAATTAATTATATAATTTATTTGAATTAGCGTGAGAGAGAGAGAGGGATGAAAGTTGCGTGTGTGAACCTGCGTCTGCGCGCCTCTCTCTACAAGCAATGAGGCTGTAACTTCAAAAACAGCTATTTTACCCCCTCATTGCAGAGAAATATAAAGTTGCGAGTCAGTAGCCTGTCGAAGCTATTTTACTAATACAAGTTTCCGTGCAGTGTTAGTGTTGTCATGTGCACTAATGTGTGTGCGTGTGTCTATGAAAGCAGCGTAGCCTACTGCATATAGTTTTAGTTTAGCTATAAACCCAAGCCCGACCCGAACCCGAAGCTATACATTAAACATTAACCCGAACCCTACCCGAAAGTATTTCGGGACCCGTCAGGCTCGGGTCGGGTAGCAGACCTCTACTATGAATGTAAACTTTAAAAACACCTGGATTAGAGCATTCGCAGATCTATCCCGTAATCTCATTTCTCTTTTTCAGGTGGGATATCCAGCGCATTCGTGAGCAGAGGATGTTTCAGCGCCTGCAGCAGAGGATGAACAGGAGGAAGGTCATTCAGGAGAGCGAACCAGAGCTGCTCTCCTTCTATCCAGACTCTGAGGATGGTATGTCAGCAGATGGCTTTTTTCCAGCAAGTATTTTGTCTGCTCATTTAAAGTGCTTGTTTCTGTGTTTGTCCTCAGTGGAGTCTATTATGGTGGCACCCGTCCTGCCAGTGGTGGCTTTTGGAAGACCTCTTCCCAACCTGAAACAGCAGTAAGTTCATTATATGTTTTTTGCATGTTGCTAATAATGTACATCTTGACATCTTGTTTTGATTGCAATACATATTTATTTATATTTAAACAGAAACTTTGACCTGCCCTGGCTAGATGAGCGTAGTCGTTGTCGAGCAGAGGTGACTAAGAAACGGACGCCTCATCGAACATGTCGCAAATGAAAAGCTTCTTCCAAAATCTTAGCCTTGTGGTCTCATCTCTCGTACACACCTATATTGCACTTTGGATCTTCAGAAGCAGATTGAAGGGTGAATTTTGGATCTCTCTAAAGCCCCCTGCTTGGTATCCATGAGAAACTGTGTTTTGCTCTGTAATGTCTGAGAAACAAGCTCTCCCAACAACACACCCATGATCACAGTGCCGAGTGTAACACTTCAGTGTTCACGTTTGCGTCATACTTTGCAGGTAAGCTTGATCAGTATGGACCAAAGCATCTACCGTAACACATCGAGAGCTGCCGTAAAAGATCAACACTTGTACATGCTGCGCTATTTGGTGTGTGAGTTCTCTCAGTCACATAAAGGGAAAAATGATGAAAACCGGTTACAGAAGCATTTGTTGTAACATAATGCTTTTGTTCCAAGGAAATGTGTAAGATACTTGTAACTAAAAAAATTATTTCAAATATTAAAACGAGTCATATTGTGAATATATACTGTGTTTTCATGTCTTTTAATGAATAATTGTTTTGAAAGCAAAATCACAGAATTCTACTTGACTTTTATGTTTGGCTAGAATTTTTTTTTTACTGGAATTGGATTCAACCAGGAAACAGAGGAGTGAGATTAGGAGAGGTGTGACGTGGGTCCTCTTTTCATTCTTGTAGTTCAAGACCCTTTGTTCTTCAGGCAATAGATTATGCAGAAGAAAATATGTTTTTACAAATGAATACACTCAGCTGCAGTGTCTTGGTTCAGAATGCTGCATCATGCCAAAAGTATTTGATGCAAACAAGTTACAGCACTGCAGTCATCAGTTTTAAGAGTATTAGCCTATCCTTTGTGTGAGAAATTGAAATATATAAAAAAAATATAAGTACTGTGGACTGTGACAAGCCCTAAAAATGTCCAAAAAACATTCTACCACCATGTTACATATAAAAAGCATATCCCATATCCCTGCTGGAAAAAACAATAGAAACCCATCACATAATTTGTAATGGTTTTACTGGTTATAATGGAAACTGTAATGGTCCCTATTGGTCTCTACTGGTAACTGGTCGCCTTCTATTGGTGGCTTGTTTAAACCACTAAATCCTAATGCAGTATGTCCAAAAACACACTACAGGAAACAATTTTTTAATTTTTAAAAGTTGATGGTTTGTAATGGTATTTGTAGTGGAAACCATTAGAATTTCTGTGATGGTTTCTATTGTTTTTTTTTCAGCAGGGATATATATATATATATATATATATATATATACATACAGTATATATATATATATATATATATATAATTTTTTACATTAAAAAAGAGCAAATATACCAAATCGCAATGCATATTGATATTTTTGTGCTCCAAAGTATTTCAAATAAGTGGTAATACCACTGTATTTTGTTGTACTTACCTCAAAAATAATGGAAATACAATGGTACTGAAAACTACTACTACTTTCCTGGTGCTACATGTCAACAGCCCAAATTATGCCAGTACCGTGGCACATTGTTACCGTTTTCATTTATTAACTTCAAAAAAGGTACTGAATGATTACAATATTTGTGTACTGTAATACTCAGAATAATTCATAGTAATATCATGGTAGTTTACTATTTTCATGTACTTACCTCAAAAAAGCTGAATGAATGGATATATTTTTAACAAGTCAAAAACAGTAATGTAACGCTGTTTTTTTTTATTAAACAGTACAAACAATAAAACCTTCAAAGGGGTGGTTCACTGGTTTTTTTCTAGGCTTGAAGCCCCTCCCTCAGAAATAGATGATGGGCTCTGATTGGTTAGCTAACCCAGTGTGTTGTGATTGGCTAAACCGCCTCTAGTGCGTGTCTAAACGTCCTGCCCCTCAGCGGCATGTGCTCCGGTTGTATTTTAAACAAGGCGTGGTTTATATCGCTTATCAGTTTGAGCCCGATTGAGAAGCACAGGATATTATTGAAGAGGATCGTGCAGAACCTGTGCAAGCACGGCTTTTAATGGTAGGCCTATGTTTTTGGTTTGTTGTCTCATACTTTTAGATACGCTGTTATTTGTAAATGCTACTGCTTATGTTAGCTTTTAATATGCGGTTTTATCCTAATTAACACTTTAATACAGTACGGCAAACACGCGTCCATGTTTAACGCTTCTCATAGCTATGTGAAAATAAGTGTATAATTGGAACGGTTCATTATTGGAGCTGAGCTGAATGAGAGAGATGCAGAGCATGTGCAGAGCAGGGGAACGCGAGGAACAGTATTAAGAACCGTTGCTTTAGAACATTGATTTTGAAACTTGTGAATCCATTAGAATCGTTAGAAGACAGAATCGCGATTCATATATAAATAGATTTTTACGTGCACCCCTAGTTTTCTCTTCCTCTTCTCTAAAGCAGGACAGCATGGCCTCGCCCCCTTTGCTGTCTTTTCCCAGGGGCGGGGTTTATCTGGGTTTGTGATGTCACGAACCCGGGAAGTAACTTGTTGTAGTCCCTACCAGCCGTTTTTGTAGGCATTAAAATACCAGAATTTTAAAAGACGATATCTCCGTTTGCATTGAACTTTCAGCTTCGTAACTTTGCAGATATTGTCTATGCTCAAACAGCAACATTACACACAAACTAACATTTAAAAAAAGTGAAATCGCAATCAACCACCCCTTTAAAGTCCCCATGAAATCAAAATTAAAGTTTTTTTGGGAGTTAGTATCAATATGTTAGTCTTAAGGTTATCTATAAGGTAGTGTGCTCCAAAACAGTGACAAAATTCGCATTTAGAAGATATAAGCATTCAAATCTTGCAGTTCGTCACTTCTGCCAAAACGGCTCAACGATTTTTTTTGACGTCACACTGTACTACAGCTTCTCATCAAACTTTCTGTCCAATCAAATGCTCTCTAGAATCCGAAGCGCCCGCCCCCTACACTATAAAATAGACGTTGAAGCCTCGGCTGAAATCGGTCACTTGTCCACAGAATTAGTATTTTCTGTACAGTGAATGGCACGTAGTGCACTATATAGGGGACAGGGAACGATTCAAACAGCATAAATATGCTTTTCATTGAGGAAAAAAAGAAGTCTGGTAGACTGTATGAAAACATGGACTTAGTGTCCGTGACGTCACCCGTAGGTTCCTGAAGAGGTTTTTGAAGCTCAAAGTGGGCGGAGTCGTCCGTCGCCATCTTGGCAGCGCGTCACTCCCGGATAATCGAAAATGGGCAAAAAGGCGGGAGCAGGTTGCTGAAACCACGCCCACCTAGCTCGATGGTGGTGACAGCAGCGGCAATCCACCTGTCACTCAAGTGGCCACGCCCTTAATTATGCAGAACTTTAAGGCTTAATATAATTTAAATGGATGACTTATAAAAAAATTCACCAACCTCACAGTTGTCATCAAGGGCAAAATTAGCTATATAGACCAAAATCATTTTTTGAACCAGGCTGTAAACATGTTTTTTTCTGCTGTAAAGTTGGGCATTTTAACATGAGGAGTCTATGGGATTGACTCCCTTTTGCAGCCAGCCTCTAGCGGCCAGTTGATGAATTACAGTTTAAGTCACTTCCGTGTTGGCTTCACGAGAGAGAGCTGGAGGTCGCCGCTTGGTCCAGAGACGGGATAGCACGGAGCGGATCACATGCGCGAGTCGGCGCAGACCACAAAATGTATCAGAGCTAGGAAGACACAAAGGATGAATACAGAAATACAGTTTTCATAGCTTTCAAATGAGCAGAACTTTGGACAATTTCCACATACTTATCTAAGTCCACTTTGAAAACAGTAAACCTTTGTTTGTGAACGTGAAATTTAGCTAACAGAAATTGATTATGTAATATTTCCCGTATTCTTTCAAACAAAAAGAAAAGTCACTCACAAAATAAGATTGAATAAACATTTAAAAAAAAAAGTATCTGTGTAGGTGCATTGCCAAAACAAATAAATGAAGTCTTCTTCTGAGGAATGACAGAAACAGTAGCCCACTCCAAGCTCTACTGTGTTTGCTGCACATGGGTCCACTGCTCCGGTCCACACAGAAACGAAACCGCGCAGATGAATGAAATGTCTCGCACTCGCGCGCGCCTCCTCTGACGCAGCAGGGAGCAAGAGGATATGACGAACGCACGAGCCCCCACAATTCCTCGCGCAGATCCGCTTTCCCTTCCTTGAGAGTTAAGATGGCGGACCGGCGGCGACGGAGACGGCGCGCCTCTCAGGACAGCGAGGAGGAGGACGAGTCCGCCTCGGGCTCCGAGAGCGGGAGGTCGGTGTCTGGCAGCCGGAAGCCTCGCGAAGGAGACCCCGAGCCGCTGGAGTCGCCCGCGGAGCGCGTCTGCGCCAAGAGCGTCAATGAGTCGGAGTGTGTGAGTGTGTGGCTATAAATCTGCTTTTATAATCAGGGCCGATCTGAGTGTGTGCCTGTTAGTGTTTCACACAGTCTAAACACGCAGTTGGTGTCATTTAATAACGAGTTAAGACGTGATAAAAGAGTAAGCGTTTCATGCGATGCGCGTTTTTTGTCTGTAAGTTAGCCCTTGAGATAAATGTTCAAGTATTTAACAGGCGCCCAGTCCTAGTTGCTTAACAGGGATATAAAATTCCTGGTGTCTGTGGGGGTTCTTTCATATAAATGTGGTGTTGACTTCATTTGACCTTAAAATGGCTTGCTTTTCAATCATCTAACGTAAGCCAGTGGTTCTCCATCACGGTCCTGGAGGCTCCCCACGTCCTGCACGTATTGGGTGTCTCCTTTATCTTACACCCATGATCCAACTCATCAGCTCAGCCTGCGTCCTAAACAGGCAACCTAAACTGAATTGTGTGTGTGTGTCAGATTAATAAGACCCCTAAAATGCATGGGCGGACATCTAGAAACAGGGTTTAGACACATTGATACTTGCATGAAAGTGAGTTAGTTGAGTGTATCTGGTCGGTGGAAAGATGCTGTGTAAGGTATTTAGGCTGTTGTTAAGCAAACTGGACGACATTTGAGGTTCCTAGGTGTGTGATATCTGATCTGTCGTTCTGTTATGGGAAGAGAAAGATCTGCTGACCGTGAAGAGGAAGTTCAGTATTGTTTTAAACTGGATGCGCTGTATGTTATGTTAACAGATTAGCTTTTCTTGATTTGTTCATTTTGGGTCTTTAATTCTTAGGTCGAACATCTCGATGAATTTTTAATCCAGGCTTCTTGTTTATCAAGTGTGCTTGTTTGGCTGAATATTTGATTCTGATCTCTTTCCGTTTAGGAAAGTGAAGATGGTGTTGGTGAAGGTGAGTCTGTTTTTTTGTCTCTTTGCTGCTGTCTGTCTTCGGGACTTCAGTTTTTGACATCAAGCTCACTAGTCTACTCTCAAAAGAGACCAAAATCATTGTTATGGTTCACAAACTACACCAGTTTTAGTGCTAACGGGTTAAATAGTTATGAACTGTCACTCATGATGACCAGATCTATAGCCATATGTTATTTGCTCTCAGAAACGTGAACAGACCTGCTAAAATGGCTGATTTCTTTTTTTCAG